TTCTATACCGTCGACAGGTACAAGACGAGTTTTCTGTCAATAAACCGCCGATTTCTACCGCACATTTACAATATTTTCTGTTTACTATGTAAGTACGTGATAAGGCGAGGAATGAACTGAAAGATGAAGTAACCACTTTATGTTTTCAATTTATCGATACACTAATTTAATTGGGAATATTACACCATGTAATTCTAGTTAATTATTTTGAACTCTTAATAATTTGAAAACATTTATGAATGGCATTAACCTACGAATATACTTCTGATTTTTAAATATATACTTGAATTATCATCAGTTGAATTTATACTTTTAATAATAAATATGTTTTAAGAATCTTTTTCATGTACAGTCATGTAATTAATAGGATATTCTCGATACAAATCATTCATATGGTAGATAAGTTACTGTTTTGCTTTTAGTAAATGGTAATATTCACGAATTATTTAAAAGCTATTTATATTAACAATAATAATAAAGATGATAACAATGTTCGTTGAATTCTGGACCATAAGTGAATTATGACACAAGGATATTAATTTTTTTTATTACGTTTCGTGTGTGCTTAACCTCTTCAGGTACTGGAATGAATATCAATATAATACAATGTAATGATTCAACACTTTAGACTTCACCCACAAAGCAACCGGATTTCAATAATACATACCTAAATCAAGTCCATGAATATAAAACATGCTAAAAGTTTATGGTTGAAAGCAAAGCAAATGTTAATAACAGGTTCGTTACATAAACAGTCTAAATACAATTGTATTACATAAACAGTTTGAATTTAATAATAATATTTATTATTATTATTTAGTTTCGTTCGTGTTACGAATTTTGAAGCCAAAATCAAGTTTAGGAATGAATTTGAATAAAAATAGTTAATTTTTTAAGAAATATTTACGATAGCGATTGTAGATCGGTTTTATTAGTAATTTGATTTCATTCCATCGTTAAACTTAAGCATTAAACAGAACCGTAAACAAACTTCTTTAAATACTCTTAAAGACAACCTCAGATCAGGCGACAACTTGGGAAGGGTGATGACCTAAAAACGAATTGAGAAGACACTTGACTGGCCGGAGAACGTGGTTCGAGCGACCTTCGGAATTGAACAATAGCTTGTCGTAATTGTGCAGGATGATTCGACCTTGTTTTCTTAACGATAAAAGCTTTGTTTGTGAGAACTACTGATGATCTCTTTCCTACCTATATCTACTCTATCGTAAATGTTGGATAAAATATCGCTATATCGATACCATTAGTTTCTGAGCATAAAATTAATAGAAATTCTAAAGGCTTCCGTCAGTCTCACTATCTGGGTCTTCCAACTCATAGAAAAATATTTTCGTTCGATTTGAATGAGTCAGAGATCAATACTTCGTATCAGATACAAATTATTCAGAAGAAAATAGTCTCTGAAAAGAAAGTAGTCCAGTTGAAGTAATATCTCGGATCGGATAATGATCAATCGGATGACCGGTACGGCAGCGCATTAAGTAGCGCGGAGATGCGACTTGGCATTCCTCTTGACAACTGACTGCGGCGAGACGTGACGGGATATGACATATCAAAAAATTAATGGATGATTACTCCCGCAATGATATTAATGGAGGATTATTCCGAAAGCGCAAAGAGCTCAACACCCCCCCCCCCGGAACATGGAGACGCGTTGCGCCAATTGAAGACGCAACACCTTTTTTTAAAGTAAAACCAACCAAACAACCAACGAACCAGCAAACATTGTTTTTATATATTATGTGAAATCGAATTGAGTGATTGATTAGTGATTCCGAGCGCATTAACTGCTAAGACCATTAGTTCCGTAAGTGTAGTGCATTTTCCCCTCTCGGGGTGGCGGTTATCTTACCCCTTTGGATGGGAGATCCGGCCCCGACTTTCCCGCAGGCTAGGTTTTTTTTCCAACAAGGTATCTCCCACCAGAGGGGCACCGCCCCAGCCGGGACAAGCTCTAAGCTCCCAACCAGTCTCCCAGCATAGTAGTGTAATGCATGTGAGTGTAAGGGAGAGGATAGGTAGGACAAGGAAAGGAAAGGAAAGATCGTGGGTGGTCCATGGCCCGTTTGTTAGGGTACTCTCCGGCATTCCCAGGTGTTGATCTTAGAAACCATGGAAAACTACAGATTAAAGCAGCAGGACGCTATAAATCTCCTCCACATTGCGACTGAATTAGACTTAGCTAACTAGCTAGTGTCGAAAATCCTTCCACCGGTACTCGAACCTAGAAATCTCCCGGTCAGAGATACCACAGTGAGCAACCTCTCTCGGTTTTTCTGTCGAAAATTGGCCGCTGGCCGACGCACGATTACAATATTTTCTCTTCTTACATTCGTAAGGCGAGAAAGTAAAAATAAAGTCATATATAAAAATTTCGACACTACACATAGTAGACAGTTTATGGTTATTTCTAATAAACATTTTTGATTGATCATTTTTGAGTGATCATTGATCATTGATATCGTTCCTACCAAGTCCAGTTTTATTTCGTGAAAAATCATTCTTGTCTTATAATAATTATTTAATTGCTTACTTTTTCGTACTATTTACTCGTTTAACAACAACAAAAAGTTAAAAACTGTTTGACTATTCTATTCCAATCCTTGTTCAATCCCTCTAGCGGCCTTATTTTGCAATTTAATTTTTGTTTGACAATGTAATGCAAATCGAGTTTATCTAAAATGGAAATTTTTTGTTGGAGATATTTTGGTTCAGTAGTATAATGATCTTAGAGGATCTTTTCTTGGCTATGTTCAATTTTTTTAGCATCCCTATGAGATGCTTGGACCTTGCGGTTACCTGTCGGATATGCAATTCTGTAGGTAGGATATTGTCGGGCAAACACGAGCGACAATGATATATCATGGAATAAATATTACTTCACAATCGCTCCTTTTATTGAGTTCTTTTCTTAGTTGGGGGAGGCGCATTGCCGGGGGTTGTTATGTTTTCAGAAAAACCATAAAATCAAATCTGTAGTTCGTTTACGATGCACATACTTTTTTGTATTACTCGGAAACGGAAATGTTAGGTTCTCAAATGTTGCGCACCACGCTTCTTGGTTCAGTTACTCAGAATTCTATTACGTACAAACATAGTGCGATACGCATACACGAGTTCCCGCTTGTGGACTTTATGTGTTTTAAAAGTGTGGAATATGGACATTTTCTTGAGCTCCTGCTCCTTGATACTCTTTTCTCGACTCGTTTCCAGCTTCAAAATTTTCCACCAGATCCCTTACTGTAGATCTGCACCAGCCGGCCACTTGTCCACTGTGCAATTCTGTGGGTAGGACATCACAAAGCTATTACATAGCTCCTGCCGAAGAAAACGTGTGAAGGAAAAAAATGTCCCCCACGCGTCATAGAGTTTTTACCGTTTCTGACTATATATTAATGAAAGAAACCAAACCATATCGAATAAGAGAATGACGATGTTGCTCTGCGACCAATATCTTCCTAGTCCTCATTACGTTCTCTCAGATCTCCAAACGTCAAACATTGCACTCCTCCCCAAATAGCCCGCACCTTTTCTGTTCGCCAACGGGAACGGGGGCCGCTGGCCGGCGGCCAGACACTTCGCACGCTCGCGGCCGCCCCGCGCAAGTCGGTCAGGCGCGCACCCGCGCCGGTGGCGGTCTGCGCATGCGCCAACCGCACAACCCGCCAAGAACGATTGAACCTTTTATTTCAGAAACCCGTCAAACGCCGAATTCCTCATTTCGAGGAAACTGACAAAAAGTCTTCCAATGTTTCGGAATGCAATATATTTTTATTTATTGAAGCAGTTGATAATTGAATACTTTTCATATAAATATTCTCTATACGATGTCTCTGTCCCCTTGGAATAGTAACACGCCGCTAATGCGTGTTTTAGATTTTGACGTTTGACAATTCTGAAATAAACGATTCAATTCATTTTTCAAGGAACAAGCGAAACGGGACAGATAGCTTAGGCCCAAATGAGATGAGCTGAACGTGGTAGCCGTGGTAGCCTTTGAACCAGCTGCTCTGATCGGTAGTTTTCTGGGGTTTCTGGCGAATGCCGGAGCATTACCCTAACATATGGGTCACGGACCGCGCGCGGTATTTCCTTCCTCTTCCTTGTTCATTCCTCACCCGTTACTCACACTTACACTTACATGTACTACACTACCAGACAAGTCGGAAGACCAGTCGGTAGCTTAGTTCGCAAGTCAACTAGTATACAGAGTAAAATACTTTATTCTGAGCGTGAAATAAATGGCTTCACTCAGAATAAAACAATTTCTATGCAAAATATTTTTAGAGATGCATTATTTGTTTGCATTGATAACATTAAAAAATTTTCATCCTGTTGGCGGCTGTTGGTGAGGTTTTGGGGACTTCTATCTTATCCTGTCCTCAGGCATAAATCAAACTTCCGATGCTACGAAACCGGGAACTTATTAACCATATCAACCTATTGATCAACTAAATATAAATTATATTTATATAATTGTAATATATGATTGTCAACTGGTCACACAAGCTAAAGTAAATAAGTATTAATTTTAGTTGCACGGATGAGGTCAAATTTATTTTGTCGAAACAGCAGCAAATCAATGTTTACGATTCCTGAGTCTTCTATTCTGAGTGATAATCTGAATATTCCTTTCTACGCTTCACATTGACATTTTCATCCTGCCTTCAGTCCAAAGCGAGAACAACAACCGGGAAACTGTGAAAGAGAATAATCCATAGTTTGGATATGCGTGCTGTAATTGTGTGTGACTAATAAGGTATGAACATGCCAAGAAATTGCAAAAAACACCCTTTCAAGCCATTTTGGAAGCAATTGTACAATATATGCTTTCTTGATAACTTCGTTTTGTGTCAGTTTCGTCACTTAATTCTGTGAATATGATTTATTTTATTTTATTTTTCCCCCTAACGACCTGTCCTGCATTACATATTTTGGCATTAAATGCGTTGGAAATTATACACTGCGCAGGCTCACGGATGATGACGTAAATTTCAGAAGCCGAGAGCCGGAGTCTTGTCCCCAACGAGTAGACGCTACGCGAAGTGTCAACTGGACCGTTAATACTTTAGGTTAGAACAGGCCACTTCATTCGCAGACTCGTTTAGTCATGCATTCGCGCTGTTGCCCATTTCTTCTAGTTGTATTGAGTCGATACTTTCACGTGGGGACCCAATAAGGGATAAGAGGCGTTTTTGGTAGTATATTTATATTTATATTTAGATAATTCAAAAAGCAGTAAAAACTTTAGGTGACGTAGGGGGGGGGAGATTATCTGCACACGTTTTCTTGAGTTCCAGAATCCCTTCCCGTCATTTTAACTATAAATAGTTAAAAGATGAGTAAAAGTTTAACATAAATAAATAAAAATATTTTTTTTAAATCGCAAGATTAGCAATATTTGAAAAATAGTCATTTTCGTTTGAGTTATAGAAAACTTTTTTGGATCGGTACATGAATTGCTAGTAAACTATATTATAATCAAAATAATTTGTTTTAATTGCGGCTGGGCAGGATTAAAAGAGCTATTCAAAAATGTAAATGCTCTTTTGAAATAGTTTTAAAAGGTTTTTCCTATTAATGTTAATAAACCAAATTCTTGCCCTATAAACTGCAGCGCTTATTATGCAAGAAAACACTAAGAAGTCATTAGTTAAACTTTGAAGTTTCGACTTTAATTGACAAGTGAAGAAATGAATTCTTGAATATCCATTTACAACAGTTTTGCTAACTTTATGTCTATAGATGTACTTGTGTACAGACAATCTGAATACTTCAACTTTTACCCCCAAAAATTAAAATGTTTTAACACTACATGCTGCGCCAACTTCTGTTGCATCGACCTACCTCTGCTCTTTTCAGCTCAGAAAGAAAAGGTATCAGATCCTTGCAACTGATTTGCTTAGGGATTTTGTAGGTCGAAGACTACTTCTTGTAGTTTAGGGAGTATATGAAAACAAGACTTAAACATTTCCTCCAAAGAAGCTGATATCAATAGTATTTTAAATTTTACATTTCACTATCACTTCATGAATCAGTACATGCGGAAAGTACTTTTAAACAACATCTGTAAAACGCCACTTGAATTTAAATAATGTATCATTTAATATACATGGGAATTTCTCAGTTTTACCAGCTCAAGATATACGAGCTAGAGCATTTTATAAACTCTAATAAAACCATTTTTTCCCACAAAAACTTTCAAAAACATAATCCTCATTTTTTCTTTCTCGTCATTCTACATAATTACGCAGTATTCAGTCGGTACGCGCAGAATGAAATAGGCGGAATACCGCAATCAAATATTTGTACTTTTCATCCAAAATCGGGACTGTTTCACTGTTGTTGTTTTTTTTTTTTTACATTTTTACCGAATTTCTATAAATCCAATAAAACCATAGACACCTCTCGAAAGGTCGAAGACCACTTAGTTTCTTTTCAATTTATGGGCACAATGAAAATTAGAAATATAGATTTTTATATTTTTCCTGACTTCCTTGGTATCTGACAAAGTCATTGTCGCGTCTCACATGAACGGTGCCGGATTCTATTTTAGGAAATGCCGACAGTGTTAAAAATGTGAAAATTATTAAAATTGTTTGCATCGTGAATTACAGAAGCGATTTAATTCTGCCTGCTCTTGTTTGCGACTTATGTAACTTGTCTTAATAATAATCGATGAAAAATAAATTATGTGGAGATTTGCTGCAATACATAGTTTCTTCTCTGGTGTAATTATTTAAGTTAATTAATGATTTCCCACTGACAGAAATAATATTACTGTTGTTCAAAGTATAATATATTGTAAGCACATGTGTGTGTGTATTTTGACCATTTCTTAAGTAATAGTATTCTCATAATACATGTGAAAAATTGGACTATTGAATTGTAAATTTTACCATAATTTATGAATATTTTAAGCATTCTTTTTGTAGTCTATATTTGTTCCAAAAAAGGAAAACTTATCCTCATTTCATTTATGTTTAGGATAGTTGAATATAACTATAATTAACTTTGTCATCTTGATTTAGCAGATCGAAATATTCTGAAACTCCATTACTTTAATTATTAGAACAAAGTGTGCATTACATGTTTTTTTTAAAAGGAAGCATATTTGTGCGTCAAATGGTGGACTATGACCGAAATATGAGTGGCTGATAAATGCACTATATTTTAAACCTGTAAATGGGAACTATTCACTGTCTTTTTAATTCTATTTATACTTTCTGGATTTTTTGTATTGTTATAAGATAGAGTTTTCTTTTCTCATTGCAGAATGAAGGGTGAACCGGGACCAAGTGGAACGTATCGTTCAGTTGACCCAGATGCTGCTTTTGCCTCTGAGGCACTGAAGGGAAGCAAACAGGACGTAGGGAACAAATGCTTCAAGATGCCCAATGATAAATCTGATGATTTAAAGGAGGACATGAAGATCTGCGAAGATTCAAATGAGACAATTTCAGACGAACTAACTGATTCAAGTTCATCTCAACATTCAGATGATTTTGCCATACTCACACCTTGTGAGATAGGTGACTTTCTTAACTCTGAGACTTCCTCTCAAGATGAATATGGAAACATATCGAGTGGCAAACATAGTTATGATGCAAGTGCTAATTTCAAGAAAATATTAGAACAGTCGGATGTTGAGGAAACTTTGAATATTGCAAAAAATACTCTTCAGAAGGATATTAATCAAAATGTGATTGGGGAAACACTTTCCACTTCTCAGAATTCAACAGCAGTAACCAACAACAATGAAAGATCTGCTTATCAATTTGAAATCAACAATAATGTAATTTCTGGTCGAAATGTTACGCAGAATATTCCAAATAAGGGAAGTAAGTGTGAACACAAAGATGGAAATGAGGCCAATGTTTCATTTAAAACAAACGAAAAAGGAAAAATTGGACCAAAGTTTTTCAAGAAGGGAAAGAAAACCAATCATGAAAATGCAATTGAAGAGCGTAAGTCTGAGTTTAAACCAGACATCTCTGCAAATGAAAGCAAATATTTCGAAACTCAGCAAACAGAAACTCCATCTACCAGTCAAATGGAGCAAACATTCAAAGAAATCAAGAATGATGCTAAAGCAACACTAAAAGCTAAAGCCAAATCTGGAGGCAAATATAAAATCAAATCAGGATACATGTCAAAAGACAAATGTGATGAAAAATTTGAGATGAAGTCTGGAAACGATTTTAAAAAGAATGTAAAAATGCTGATTGGAGGCGATGGTGGATTCAAAGGAGATAATTCTGAAGGAAATACTGGAGACATTCCTACAGAAAATACTGGAGCCAAGCGTGCTTTTCGCGGGGCAAAGTACTTCGCCCGGATGAAATTCGGTTCTCGTGGACCGCAGCCTGTGGACGAGGCTGCTGCCAGCACCAGCGGCGGTGGCAGCAAGAAGGGTGGCAAGGGTGACAAGGGCGACCAGGGTGGCAAGGCTGCCCAAAATGAGGACCTGGCGAAGCAAGGCCCCTCCAACGCGCCCGCCGCGTGAGTAGCGCGCCCTCCGCGCGCTGGGTTGGCGCGATTTCCTTCCAGAAAAGAGTAGGAAATGTGGAGGCGAAGGCCAGAATACCTGGCTGCCTGCCGGAAGAGCTGTCAGGGAGCTCCTGAAGGCACGGACTTCCACATTCTGGCCTTCTGACCAGCATTTTGGCCTTCGAGCTCTCTACAAAGTACAGTAATTGAAACAAAAACACTCCTAGTGAGTTCTTCGACGAGGACTCACTCGGTGTGGTTTGTTTGTTTTTTCATCATAATACTGTATGCGGTTTTTTATTAATTACAATACGTCTAAAGGTGCCGCGATGTTCCTCATGGGGACACATATTAACCTTTACACTAGACATGATTAATTCTGATATTGCAGAGTTTTCAATCAGTTATGTTAAATTGTCGCGCATACAGTATGTTCTCTTGAAGATAAAAATAATTTTAATTAACTAACTTAATTATTTTTGAAGTATCTTCGCACAACAAAACGTTTTTTGGTGAAGATGCTCTTTAATTTCTCCCCTTACTTTGTAAGACTGCTCTCAAATTTGTTATGCAAGTAGGGTAAACCATTCCGAATGGCCAGAAGCTTTTCTTCAAATGTAAGGTAAGTAACAGCTTTTTTTGTTGTAACAAAGATTTTTCCTTGCTCATCAAAATTACGTGACATCTATTACAAATCATATGCGCGGTACTTGGCGTCTGGTTTGCGAACTGGTAGTTTTCTCTCCGACGCGCGGAGCATTAGAAGGAAACTATGACAGTCATTTACTGGTCGCTTCTACAACCCAAAACAGTAGCATTGTTTAATGCTTACATTCAGTAAACGACAGCAGTTCTTTTTCTCTTTACTTAAAAGAGATGTGCCAATAGAGTTGAAGTCTAAATTTAAAGCAAATGCTGAAGGGCAAGTTATGTTTTATTAAAAGAAAATAGTGCCAGATAACAATGACATAATGGACGGACAGGCTAGGGAGTCTGGGATTTGTCTGTGTGCGACAGATGTAGGGGAATCGCGATGCGATCTACTCCTCTCGTTCCCGGCCCCTCTCCGTCCTCCCCCTCCCCCAACACACCATTCAATCCACAGTAAAACACTACAAAAATCCAATAAACATTATTCAATAGTCAGGAGACACACATACAACGCATCCACTCGCCTACAAAACACTCTCACATTTCTCATAGTAGAAACTAGAAACAAGTATTCACCAAATAACACGAAACAAAGCGAACATGGGAAATAGATTCAGATTAAGAAATCAGTACTGTACCTGTACTGTGTCAGTACTGCCTCACTATTAAAATGGCTTCAATTAGCACTGACTGAATTGTATACCTTTTGTCTACATTATATCTCTTCCCTGTGATTCACTGCAGACACTGCTTTAACTGTGCGTGTAGGGAAGCTGCGCATCCGCATAGTTCCCCAAAGCTGTGGAAATGAATGATAAACCAGACCGTGTGGTAGCACTGAAAACCTCTGTGTTGGAATGTAGCAATTGGCTTTCTACTAAACGAAGGGTGTTTTGCAGAGTGTGACTTGTTTATACGCCCTCTCATTGCCCTCAATTATGTATTGACCTAGGACTAGATCAACGTATCTTGTTTGTAAAGCGCCGAAAACACCCTTGCCCCATAATTGCTTCCGAAATTGGGTCACAACTCGCCTGTTACTGGATCTCACTGGTTTTTCTCGGAACGGTTTCTGAGAGCTCCAATGCTCCAATCGAAACGCTGATCAAAGCCGGAAGAGGGAGAATGTTCACGCTTGCCGGTCTTGATTGCCGAGATCGCTAAGGCAGTAGTGCCATAGCGATCTCTGACCGACGGATCGCGGGTTCGAGTTCCCCTTCGGGCATGGTTGTGTAGTGTTCGTCCTTTCACCCGCATCATCATCATCATCATCATCATCATATCGTGTCATCCTCATAGTTACCATACTGTTACAGGCTATAGTGGTCCCTAATGACCTAGAAGTTGATAGGAATTTAAATAAAAAAGTTCACTCTTGTTTGATTACAACGGTAAAAGAAAAGCGCATGTAAATATTTTAAATATAGTCTTGAATAAAATTATTCAATTATAACATTATTAATTACCATAATACAGAGTTTTCAATCGATTTTGTTAAATGACCGCATATATATTATCGTGAAGATTGGAAATAATTTTAATGAACTTACTTTACTAGCAGGGAGACGTTTTCTACATAGTAGGTATGTGTCCAAGTGATGTGTTCACTTGAACCGGAGCTCTTCGGATGTGAATTAAATACTGAATAACTGTGCAACCAAAGTTGATCAATTATTCACGCTCAAAGAAACGTTGTGAAGTTGGGTTCATTATTTGCATACAAATTGCTGAATCCCAACTACCCAAAGAAAGTTAATTTCTCATACTAGATATATCACCAACTTTGTTTCTAACTTAGTGTTGCCATTGTATGCCATCGTTGGCAAATAAATCCACTGGTCTAAGGACTTAGAAATTTCAAATAAGTATTTTCTGTCTGTCTACAAAAATCATCAAATTTATACATAATACATAGTAATGGTGGGAGAAATTATGCACTGAAACTTCATTTTTATTATAATACAAGAATTATATTATTATGCTTGATTTTTACATTGGCAAATTTCATTGACTTGTTGAAAAATACCCATTTTACACAACTGTACAAACTTTAAAACTTATGTTCTGAAACGAAGGGAAATACGATTGAACCACTGATTCAGTGCGCAGACAAATATAAACTATGGAACTTAAGTTTAGAAGTGAGAAAAGAAAATGACAGTTAATAAAGAGTATAAAAACGTCTACTGTTGAGTGGTGTTAAAAATATTAATATGTATAGTAAATAAATAATCCTACCCGTTTCAAATTGTATAAGAACATAATATAATATGATATAATAAGAATGTGATATCGGAATGTAAATGCGGAATAAAGGCAGTAAAGTATTAAATTAATGCGAAAGTGCTATTACAGGTAATAGATATTTGCTCCATTTCTAAAACGAAATTCATTCATTCCGTTGAATCTTCGCGAAGTAGTCATGGAGTGAAAAGGCAGGACAGGTGGCGGTGTCAGAGATAGAAAAACTCTTGGCAGCTGTAAAGGGATTAGCTCTGTACTAGTAATTAGAGCGAAGAACACCTAATATTGATCAAACGAATTAACTTTAAGATGTTTGAAGTAAAAGATATAGAATTTCATATGTTATTACATTCAAGATCGTAGAGAAGATCCAATGTGAAGAAAATGTATATTTGTGAAATAATCCAAGTATCAAAAATTGAAAATTACAACTACGCACAAATGTGAATTTTATAATTCCACCTTTGACAAATTTCCGTTCAATGCTCTTTTCAGACTACAAAAGAAGATAACCCATTCGATATATACATTTTTTATGTATGCTGAGATTATTTGTTTTCGCATAACAATATTGTGAAATTTCCTCAATTACCTAAGACTATGGAGATTTTATAACTTCCTTATCATTTCACTAAAAAAATAATTTAAAAAATTGGGAAACATTAGGGTCAATTTTTTAAAAAAAGACAATAATTTTGATATATCAAGGCTGAAAAAGTGAAAAGTAAATGTTTTTCGAAAAGCAGTTACTCGACACGAGCGTAGTACAGCCGAGAGTTGTAAAATTTTCAAATGTTTGAAATTTACTTCTCAGTCAAGGTGCATACACACTCACCACTATTTTCACAAAAATGATGACGATTTCAAAAACGAAATCGAATGGAAGAAAGTTTCATAGTTCGAACTAATATTTCTAATAATTTGAATTCGAGTCGTCATTGGAAGACAGAACTTCAGTTTCAGTTATTATTTAAAGTTTACCAACATGAAATCACAATGTTACATCGTGGAAGAGCAGGAAATATCAATGAAAGCATAACTATTTAATATAATAAAAATGTGAATTTATCGTAGTATATATTTCAAAATAATCTTTATTGATATAAATGAGTTTCCGACCCTAAATTGAAAGTTTAAAACCGGTTTTAACTGATGTCTCTGCAATGTAGTCTCACCGGCAGGCTCTATGGTTCGTGACCCGACGGTGACAGGATTTCGACATTAGCTAGAGAGCTAGGTCAAATTCAGGCGCTGCCCAGAGGAGAATTCTAGCGGTAGTAGAATATTAGTAGTTTCTCGTGGTTTCTGAGATCAACACCGAGCGAATGCCGGAGAAAACCATAACAAAGGGGCCACCGACCGTGCGCCATCTTTCCTTTCTTTTCCTTGTTCTATCTTTACTCCGTTCCTACACACGCTTACATTTATTTGCACTACACTACCACGCATGTCGGGAGACGAGACGGGAGCTTATAGGTTATTCCGGCAGGGGCACTGCTCCGCTCATGAGAGATATCTTGTAGAAAAAAAAACAAGTCGACGTGTAGGTCGGCGCAGAATATCGCCCTCCATCTGGGGGAGATCACCGCCACCTCCTGCGACAAAAGATGCATTACACTTACGGCAGAAGAAGTTGTCGCTCGCGGGAACTAATCAATTGATCCCGTAATAAAAGCGTAAGCGTATAAAACACTTAAGGAACAAATGAACGCGGCAGTTGACGCATCCAGAAACACTACAAATAATCAATCAATCAATTAAAATCTTAATGGTGAAAAGGGACCTATATGTGACGTTTTCGTTGCCAAAGTCGATGCATGCAGTTGTACAGGCCTAGGCCGAAAAAAGCCAGTGTCGAAGTGGAAGAGATTTTTCTTTCTAGTAATTTGCAGTTGTGACAGGGTCAGTTGGTACGAAGGAAATTATGCTTCGTTTCTCCTTAGTTATGTTGTTAAAATTCAACATGGATTACGACATAAAGATGAAAAGTCGCGTGTGCCAGGAAGCGGGAGGAGAAATAGAAAGCCGAAATTTCATTTGCAGTGCCTCTCTTTGGATCCCGACCAATCAGTTGACGTGGAGTTTTGCTGCCGCTGTCCTACCCCGAGGGGACGTATTCGT